CACGCCGGCGCCGCGCGCGCCTCGAGGCCGAGTCAAGGTAAGCGGCGCGGGCCCGGCCCGGCCCGGCCCTGCCCAGCCCTGCCCTGCCCGGCGCCCGCCCGCGGGCGCGGAGCGCATTGTTGTTCGCGGTGCACCTCCGGGTGCTCACGCTCCTGTGCACACCCCGCTGCGGACGCGCCGCCCGTCCCGGCGAGGACAGCTACCTGGGCGCTGCTCAGGGGTCCAGGCGCCTCCTCCTGCAGCCCGACCCTCTTCTCCGCCCCGCGAGCCCGCCGAGGCGGGCAGCCAACCTGGCCGCCCGGGGCTTTTGCAGCTAAAGGCATCTTCCCCACCCCGCCCCCAGCCAGAACCGATCCTCTCGCATCCCTGGGACTAATCCCTTCCGCCCCCTTCCCAAAACGAGCCCCCCACGCACACCCCAATGCTAGGAACAAGCCTTCTGCCAGGTCTGCCCACCCTTGGGGGGGGGTAGGCTGGGGGGCGGGGAGCATGCATGGTAAGGAGTGAAAAGTCTTCGGCTCCCCAGTGCAATCCTGCCTGCCCAACGTGCTAGGCTTCACTCCTATCTGATCTCAGTCCTCTACCACCCCCTTTTCTCATTTGTCTGGTCGGCACGATCTCTTAGGAGCTTTCTGAGCCCCAACTTTGCAGTAAGATGGCAGAAAATGGAAATTCAGAAAGCTGAGAAAAACTATTTTATGGTTTTTTAAAAATGCAGTGAACGAGTAGTTCTTTGACCACCTCTTATGTGACCACCCTCTTAGTCACCTCTTCTTTTCTTTGAGCTGCCCCTCCACACACCTGGATGCCTGGCTGCTGGAAAAGGCGCGATTGCTTCTCTTCCTCTTCTGTCCAAGATAGGATTCTAAAGTCTAATATCATTTTTAGCCACACACACGCCCACACTGTCTTCTTAATGTTCTTGCATTCACCAGTTTCTCTGGACAGTTCTTGCCATAACCCCATTTCACAGACAAAGGCTTAAGAGGGAAAAAGAACAAAACTGTTTCCTGTGTTTGCCATTTTAATGCTGTCCATCCCCACACTCCCAGTACCCATCCCTGATGCTTCTTGTGCCTGTGTCTTGACCCTTCAAGATGAAAAAAGAAAAATCTCTTGGGATAGCTTGATATAGTTTCCTTATAAATCTGCATTGTTGCTTCTGGTTTATGGCCATGAAAATACCAGCCCCCACCCAAAATGCACCGCAGCCAAGTCGGCTAAAGGCGATGAGTGTTGGAGTCAGTAGGGGGCGCATTCTCTGCACTGGGTAAGGCTGCAGAGGGGGGAAGGGCCCCAGAGCTAGAACAGGATGTGCTTCACAGCGCCTTCTACAGACCATGGGAAAATGGGCCCAGCAAGACACACACTCCTAGTTGGTGAGCTGACAGCAACATGGCGAGGGATTGAGTCAAGAGCAGTGATTTTATTTCTTGTGAGAAATCCACTCTGTGTTTTGGAAGTTTTCTCTTTTTTACTTTTTCAAAACTGTTGACCCACAGAAAGTCCACATTTGTTCTTGACAAATCACCTTGTCACACATCCTTGGGTCATAGTTTCCCTTTCTCTGGAATTCTCCCCCTTAAGCTTTCAATGTGTCAACATATCTTTCCAAAGTCAGGTGGTAGAGAGAAGAGTTTAAAAGCAGAGAATAGCAGGTTGGGGGCATTGTTATTTAGTCCAAATTTTCATAGTTGAAACCTTTCCAACTCTTTGAAAGGTAAAAGTTACTCTTGAAGAATGTTAGATTTTTGTGGGGTAGTAATTTTCATAACCATAATAGACTGGTGTCATGATTTGCAAAGCATTGTTGACAAACATTAAGCCCATGTTGAGTTCTTCACTGTCAAACTCAACAGGTTTGATTGTAAAATTTTGTTTACCTCCAACTTTGGACTTGTAATTGCCATACATTTTGTCAGTAGCCAACAACCTTCCTTTTCAAGTGTTGACACCAGTCTTCTGTGAACACCCACTTTCTTAGGGTGTGTGAATTTCCATAGATTTTACTCCTCTTGTTATTTCCATAGGTGTGAGATGCACAATGCGAAACCTAGGCCCCAGCTTTTGCACCATGATGCACAGGGTTGTACTTTTTGTACTGAACTGATAGGTGGCCTAGTGGTTGTGCCCTGTGCTGCCATTTTGAGGATCTGGACTCCGTTTCCTGCCTTGCTCTTTGGACTACATTGTCAATTCACACCGGTGGGTATATTTATTTGGGAGGGTGGGAATTACAGCACAGGGAAGCCAGAGACATTTTTCTGCTTTGGTCACCACCAAACTCAACATTACCAGACTTTCAGCCTAGCCACATTTTCTCAAGGAACTGTTTAAAACTCATTACAGTCGTGGTTTCTGACCACTTAAGAGAATTAAGAAATGACTTAGGGCTTGTTTAAGAGAAATTTTTAAAGATGCTAATATTATGATCATTTACATTCTGCACTTTTGCATATAAAGTTTAAATCTAAATTAGTGTAATTTTGATAATCACTCTCAAAAGTTGCTGAACTTCTAAAAATCCGTAAGGATCTGATGAGAGAGGATGGGGTAGAGCTCAGCAGTAGGGCACTTGCCCAACATGCTTATGACCCTGGGTTCCATCCCCAGCACTGCAAAGAAAAACAACAAAATAAATAAATCAGAAGATCTAATGAAAGTATATGTGTGGGGGATAAACTTACTACCAAAAATTGACAGTGGTTATTGATACTTAGAGTTACTTTAAAAAGTTGTGTCAAGTATACAGATATCTATAGGAAACTGAATGGATATATTTGATGCATAGTTAACCAGTTGGTGAATTTTCCATTTGATAATCATTTCCAAATAATGATTATTTGGTGAGTGAAAAAGATGGCAGCTTGGTTCAGGTATTTCCGTAGAGAACTGCATTGCTTTTACAGCTTTTTCATAATTGCAGAATCCCGTGTTTAATATAAATGGTATTGTAATTTTTAATGCTGTTTAGTATTTGTTAAATCTTTGGCCTGTATTCAGTGTTTGATATACAGTTGAAAAAGTTCTTAAAATGAGTAATTTGAAGACAATTTGAGTGCATATTTGAAGGTTTGTGAAGGTGCATTTGTGACTTAGCAAATTTTAAGATAGCTTGTTAACTGATGTCCTTAGTGGTAATAGCCATTTTCCCCTTGCAGGAAAACTTCTTGTGGGCTCTTAGCATGTATTCTAGAGAGTTTCAAAGATTTCCTAGTTTTGGCACTCTGAAAAAATAGGTGAAACACTTGGGCTTGTTGGTTGGAATTTATAGTCAGCAAAATAGCATTCATTAAAGTACAGCTAAATAGCCTCAGTTTACTAGAGTGTTCTGTTTAACTGAGCTTTAAGTTGAAGTACCTTCTTTACCTTGACCCTGATTGAAAGATTTCCCAAGATTACCTTACTCTAGTGGCTACTATATGTTGAAACTAACCAAATCTTTTATTTTGGTTCTTACAGCCCCTGTACAGAAAATATAGGCAAGTGGGCTGTGAATCTAATGGCCCCTGGTGCTGCCAGTCTAGGAGGTCACTGAATTTTAAACATACCTGCTATGAATTTGCTTTGGTTTTATTTCTCTTCTCTTTAAACTAGATTGCAGGGAAAGTTCTGATACTATTTTACTAAGTTTAAATTTCTTGATGTTGAACAGATTAAGTTTCAGCACCCCTTCCAGGTAACTAATAGACGACTTTTTCATCACACAGAAATGGCTTTGGTTTTCATGGATGGATGGATGTAGTGTTTGATTATTAAAAGCATAAATATATAAGGTATACTACATGTAAAGTTGCCTGCCTTGTAAGATATTTCAAAAATACTTAAAATAATTTTTATATTTAGAAATTTTAAATATTTGAGAAATATGGTGGTTGATTATTTGCATGGAATACACATGCTGTCTACAAATATAATTGTGAAAATTCCAATTTATAGAGTAGACCTGTAAGAAGAAAACATGGACCAATATTTGAAGGGAAAGAGAGAACTTTAGAATTTAAGTGTACTTTTTCTCTTGAGAATTACATGTGAGTAACAAGGCAGTATAAGTTGTAATAAACCCTGGTAAATGGAGTCTATTAATTAAGGGGGGTATGTATGTGTATGCATGCATACATATAGAATACAGTTGGGTTTTTAGAGTTGGAAATAATTGTCAATAAATAGAAAATAAAAGTCCAAGTATTAGAAATGCAGTTTAAGGATAATACATTTATGTATGGAGGGAAAAAACAGAATTAAACTTGGATTTTTGTTTCTTAATTAGCATGTTTAAATCTTAGGAATAGACATTTTTTAAATGATGTAAAAGAACCTTAAAAAAGAAATTTCTTTTTTTTAACATTAGAAGCTGACTTGTGGTTTTCACTAAGGTGCCTGTGACTTGTTCATTAAGCTGCTTATTTAACCTTATCTTCCAAAGAACTTTAAAAGAATGTCATAAAACCTGTTGTGTTTGATAGAAGGTAAAATAATTTCAGAAATATTTACTTTCATTTACTTGCCTGAGAGGCATGCACGTTAGCAGAAACATTGCACCCCAATGAAAATAATTTCATTATAGTTAGATTCAAAGAGCATGACGTGTTATTAACATCACATAGACTCAGTTATTCCTCCCCTGGTTTTGTACGAACTTAGTC